AAAATATATATATATATATATATATATATATATATATATATATATATATATATATATATATATATATATACAGCCGTGGACAAAAGTTTTGAGAGTGACAGAAATATTAATTTTCACAAAGTCTGCTGCCTCAGTTTTTATGATGGCAATTTGCATATACTCCAGAATGCTATGAAGAGTTATCAGATGAATTGCACTTAATTGCAAAGTCCCTCTTCGCCATGAAAATGAGCTTAATCCCAAAAAACATTTCCACTGCATTTCAGTCCTGCCACAAAAGGACCAGCTGACATTTCAGTAATTCTCTCATTAACACAGGTGAGAGTGTTGATGAGGACAAGGCTAGAGATCACTCTGCCATGCTGATTGAGTTAGAATAACAGACTGGATGCTTTAAAAGGAGGGTGGTGCTTGAAATCATTGTTCTTCCTCTGTTAACCATGGTTACCTGCAAGGAAACATGTGCAGTTAGCATTGCTTTGCAAAAAAAGGGATTCACAGGCAAGGATAATGCTGCTAGTAAGATTGCACCTAAATCAATCATTTATCGGATCATCAACAACTTCAAGAGGAGAGGTTCAATTGCTGTGCAGAAGGCTTCAGGGCACCCAAGAAAGTCCAGCAAGTGCCAGGACCATCTTCTAAAGTTGATTCAGCTGTGGGATCGGAGCACCACCAGTGCAGAGCTTGCTCAGGAATGGCAGCAGGCAGGTGTGAGTGCATCTGCACGCACAGTGAGGCCAAGACTTTTGGAGGATGGCCTGGTGTCAAGAAGGGCAGCAAAGAACCCACTTCTCTCCAGGAAAAACATCAGGGACAGACTGAAATTCACCAAAAGGTACAGGGATTGGACTGTTGAGGACTGGGGCAAAGTCATTTTCTCTGATGAATCCCTTTTCTGATTGGTTGGGGCATCTGGAATAAAGCTTGTCCGGAGAACAAAAGGTGAGCGCTACCATCAGTCCTGTGTCATGGCAACCGTAAAGCATCCTGAGACCGTTCATGTGTGGGGTTGCTCACTCACAATTTTGCCTAAGAACACAGCCATGAATAAAGAATGGTACAAAAACATCCTCCGAGAGCAACTTCTCCCAACCATCTAAGAACAGTTTGGTGATGAACAATGCCTTTTCCAGCATGCTGGAGCACCTTGCCATAAGGCAAAAATGATAACTAAGTGGCTTGGGGAACAAAACATCAACATTTTGGGTCCATGGCCAGGAAACTCCCCATACCTTAATCCCATTGAGAACTTGTGGTCAATCCTCAAGAGGTGGGTGGACAAACAAAAACCTACAAATTCTGACAAACTCCAAGCATCGATTATGCAAGAATGGGCTGCCATCAGTCAGGACGTGGCCCAGAAGTTGATTGACAGCATGCCAGGGGGAATTGCAGAGGTCTTTAAAAAGAAGGGTCAACACTGCAAATACTGAGTCTTTGCATAAACTTATTGTAATCGTCAATAAAAGCCTTTGACACTTATGAAATATACCAGTATACCATAGTAACATCTGACAAAAAGATTTAAAAACACTGTAGCAGCAGACTTTGTGAAAATTAATTTTGCGTCATTCTCAAAACTTTTGGCCACGGCTATATATATCCTGCTAGTCTTAACCATAAACTAGTCTTTACTGTCACTTTCGGTCATTTAAATGCATCCTTGCTGAATAACAGTATTAATTTCTTCAAAAATATACATATATATCTTAGCAACCCCAAACTTTTGAACTGTTGTATATATTGGGGAGATGCCAATATCTATTTTTTTAAGATGTTAAATAAGCCTTTAAGTTATGATGAATAATACATATTATCAGTAAAAAAAAAATAAAAAACACTACCCTGTTCTAGATATTGGCATTTTCCATTTTCCAAAACCCATATTGGTCAACCACTGTTAAACTGTAAGCCCTCTCTCAACAACACACACCTGGAAGTCAACATGAAATGCCATATGCATTTGCAACCCATTGCACTTCAATATGCAGTAATTATAAGTGAAACAATATGATGATGTGACTTAATTTTAACCACCATGATTGTACTGTGAAAAGAATAGAGAATAACTTGTGTGGTTGGAGGGGAGAAGTTGAAAGAATCATGTCGTTAGAAAGAAAATAGGGTCAATTTTTAATTTCATGCTGACTTAATACTCTAATCTCTAATGTCTTTCTTTTTTTCTTCATTCTCCATTTCTCTTAATTTCTTTCTCAATCCTGCACTCTCTGCCGTCTCTCGCTCTTGTTTTCTCTTTCATTCGCTGATTTGCTTCAGCTCATTCATCACTCTCCTCAGTTTGTGTGCTGTACCCGCAGGTATCCCAGCATGCTCCGCCCTCCCCAGCGTATCTACGGCTTTGAGCGCAAGTCAGCCATTTTTCAGCTGGGCCATACGGCAGGACACCGGACAGCTTGGTTACGCCCTGCCGTGAACGAGCTGGACGCGGGCCATGGGGACGATACTTTGTGATCATTAATTGAGCTGCCTTTACACAGAGGCAGAAAGGAAGATGTCTTCATCTCGCGCTAATGCTTTTATAGAGCCAGACATTATCTCTACTACCGTCGTATGGAGGAACAGATTCACTTTCTTTAATGTAATACAGCTGAGGTGTGTGTGTGTGCATAAAATGAATATGCCTCTTGGCAGAAGCTGTAAAAGTGTGTCATCCTCAACAAAGAGCCAATACGCTCTTTGGTTGCCATGGTGAAATTCATTGTAGCCAATTAGGTGCAAAACCTTGGGTATATCTGTGTGATGATTGTGTGTGTGTTGCATGTTGCTCGCAGAGAATAACCATAAACCATGAGTCTCATTAACTTACAGGCAATGTAGCAGCTTATTCATTACACACACACATTCACATCAGGCAAATGAATGGTACAGCTGCTAACCTCTACAAACCATTATGTTTGAAATCTTACATTGGGGTCCTTTAATGTTAAACCTTATGAGATCCTGTGGAGCTGCTTTTAGCCATTATGACCCCAAAAGCTGGAACATTTTAACAATTACTTTTATATGTATTCATTTACAACACTTGTAATGAGGAATGCTGCAAGTGATTTTATCATAAAAGCCAACATTTGCAGCACACAAAGATTAGGCAAGCTCCCAATCATTCATAGTTTTATTATTTTTACTTTTAAGTTGGCGTTTGAGTATTTTAGGTCTCTTTAAGTAATTACATATATTTTTTTAACATTTAAATTCACTTTTGATTTATTTATTATTTTTCACTTCTAGTTGTTCAATTTTTTAAAAATAAAATGATATTGTATTATTTGTAGGCAATTTTTAGCTACATTTTAGCTATGAATGGTACTACATTAATAAAATAAATAAAATAATAATGTTATTTGTAACACTTAATAAAGTTAACTTCATTAACAAGTTCATGCATATGAACAATTAGCATTTTTTTATGGCATCTACTAATCTAGATTAATGTAATATGTTCATGTTCATTAATACAACCTGAATGTTTTAGTAGTTTTAGACTTTAACATTAATCTAGATTAAAAAATGGTTTAAAAAGTATTGTTAAATGTTATATATAACGCATGAATATAATATTGATAACTTGGACCTTAATGTATAGTGTTACCTTTAATAATAATAATCTTTAATTATTATTATTATTAGCATTCAGTTGATGCTATTTCTCCAAGGCAACCAAAAAGGAACAGCCCAAAGCCATCAACAGAATATGTGTGTGTGTGTGTGTGTGTTTGTGCGTTACACAGTGCTTAACTGACTGCTTAAGTAGAATGTGCTCAATGGGGTGGCGTTAGGCATCTGTTCATAAGGGGTCACACAGATGTTCAGTCCAGACACACACACAAATAAATGGAGAGCTGATGACATGAAAGAACATGTACCGCATTTAGCAATGTCATCGAGAAGCATCTGGAGCCGAGAGAGTGACTCGGCCTGATAAAAGTGGTGAAGGGCAGCGGTTTCGCGAGTCTCTTCGTTTCCTGCCTGCAACCTTTCTGTTGGCTTATCATGTAAACACATGCTTGGAAACAGATTAGCGTTAGTTTTAAAGACCCTGTAAGACCAACATTAGTACAGCTTATTAACAGTGGAACTACATTTAAGTGTATTAGCTAGTTTAGGCGGTGACGATGCACCTTCCCAACGCTAGTCGACGCATTCAAACACTCTGACACGAAACTAACAAGAACAACTAGAAGAAGTAGAAGAAGAGGTGGAAGAAAGAAAAGCTGTACACGTAAGTGCTCATCAGCGTGGAAACACCTACAATAAACACTGTTTAGTGGCCTGAATGCGTAGCTTTTTTCACCTAAAGTATATCTTTTTAACGCTAGTTTATACACAACTAACTGATATTTACACAACATCGACAGAGTCAGAGTTCATCCCAGATTGTTCTCGTGGCGTCGCGCTGACGTAAGTGAGTTCGTGTCCTGCAGAATCGGCGGTTCTTGTCCAACACGCAACATTGCCAAAAATGCAAGCGGAAGAAGAGGGTATTTACATACAGGTCCGTTACACTTCACCTTCAATATGAAGGTTTACTCTGAAGATAAACTCGTATTTATTTAAAGATATACATAATTTACGCTCGTATGACCTAGGGATGGGACGCAGGCATACAGGATGTCCTTTGGCAACGTCAGCCATATCGAAATCGACAGGTAGTGTAAGTGGGAAGCAGTGAGGATAGAAGGTTTATAGTGGGGAAAAAAAACGGGGAAAAAGAAGAACGAAAGAACCTTGTAGAAAACGATGCAAGACGTCTCGGAATCTGAGCAGTCACTGTGATTTCTGGATAAGCATCGTAAAGGTAATTAATGATGAGAAGAGGACAAAAAGAATCCGCTTCTTCGGTTTTCCCTGTAAATGTAGACTGAAGAGGTTAACAGATGCCCTGTGAGTCCCGGCGGTCCTGTTCCGATCTGGTCTGTTGGATATGGGATAATGGTTCCTCTCCTGAAACACGTTATCAGATCAGGATGATAGTCTCTATTCTGGCGCGCTCCGATGGGATTGGGCTCACCCGCTGGTAATTCTTCCGCAAGTTGCCCGGCCCGTCGTCCGGCGCCCCCTGTAGTCATGCCAGCGCTGTGCCTGTCTGGCACTGGGACATCTGCAGGTGCATGGACTGAATGCTGTTGAGGATTTTCTTCTGATGGCCGGCTAGAGTCACACCTATCCTCAACAGGTCCCTGCGAACGCAAGAAAAACTACAGTTAATACTGGACACACATTCAAATGCAGTACACAACTGTGACAAATACCTCCAAAGTAACACTAAATAGCTCTATAATGAACATTTGCATCACTCTTTACCAATTCAACAGTATTTTTCCAAGTTAAAGGAGCTGCTGTTATCATTGCACAATGTATGATGTTCAGGCTACATTTACATGCATCTAACACTTACTAACACATTTCAAATATAAATGAACATAAATAATGTATTATAAACAAATATGAATTAATAATGAGCAATTCACAAAGTATAATACGAACAGTAATATAATATAAATTAAACAAAAATGTAACAATTCACAAAAATATAAAAATTATAAAAAATAAAATATAAAAATGATATAAAAACAAAACATAAACCTTAATATATAGTATATAATATATAAAACATTAATATATTAAACTTTAAAATTTACTGCCCTCTAACTGTTAAGGTAACACTTTATATGGACCAATTTCCACTATTAACTTATTAATTAGTTGCTTATTAGCATGCCTATTATTAACATATTGGCTGTTTATTAGTACTTATAAATCACATATTCTGCATGACCATATTCTACATCCCTAATCCTACCCAATACCTAAACTTAACATCTACCTTACTAACTGTTAATAAGCAGCAAATTAGGAGTTTGAGACAAAAGTCATAGTTAATGGTTTGTTAATAGCGAGAACTGGACCTTAAAATAAAGTGTGACCATAATAATAAAAATAAGGTTGATCACCTTGCTATTACACATCTGCCTGTTGTCAATGTCCATCATTGTAATCCATACTAACAAACATGGTTTATTTTTTTTATTCTAACAGTAGTAAAAACTAAAATCCACTACAAGCATTTTGCCAGATGGTACAGGAAACCCTTCTCTCCCTGAGCAACACTCGACAAGCACTTCCTGTTATTAGATTAACGGTCAGCACATCAAAAGGCCAAGTAAGATCAAGACATGTCTGCTACAGTGTGTGATTTTAGGTGACTGTTTCATTGCCTCCTTTAAATTACAAAGACAAAAGAGCAACTCTGAATAAACGCTCAATTTACTCCGCTATCCTCCGAGAGGAGCCTTTATTATGAATGAGAACAACCTGCACTATCAATATACGAACCATTCAAACAACACAGAGAGAGAGAGAGAGAGAGAGAGAGAGAGGGGAACAGCTCAGAGCCCCTACAGGTTTATAGATGTGAGAGCAAACAACATTAACACATGAAAGCTGCTTGCATTTAACTTCCTGTTTATGCGTGGGCTCATACTTATGTTGCTAATTAAGCGCAGACCCTCTCTGTGAGCTGCGGCTGCATTAATCAGAGCGTCAGAGACGCTACACTTCACAGTACGCTTCCCGGCACGAACAAAACACCAGGAGACGTGTTTTAAACATCATCAACAACATACACACCTGTTCGCTCGATAGCGACTCAAGTCAAAACACATGCACACATACCTTAGCGATTCATGCTAATCCTACTGTATGTGTATGGTTCATAAATCGATATTAAACAAGTTTGCTGAGATATCTGGCCACCTGGCATTCAGTGATCAATGACTGTCTGGAAATCTGAAACCAGCTTTAATCACCCTTCACACCGACACAACAAACTAACTCACCAAGCATTAGACATCATCTGAAATAAACCAATAATATGACAGGACAGCTGAATAAGACGCATAATTGTTGCAAACATAATGATTTTTGAAACAGATGTTGTTAACAGTGTGATCTATGAAAGCCTGTTTCCAACTCAGAGTAAAAGTTTAAAATAGGAAATAAAGTTGCAAATATGAGGTCAAAAGTCACAATTTTGGGAAATAAGGTTTTAGTTGGGTGGTTGAATAGTTGTATGACCTGTTGATGGGGCTAGTTCAACCAATTTAGAGCTGGTAGGCCATCTTGGCTGACTAATGATTAAAGCCTAAGAAATCTAATAAATAGAACTTTAGAAATGGTTAGACTGGCCATTAGCTGGTTCACACTGGTTTAGGATGTTGACTAGTTGTATGACTAGATATTAGGGCCAATCTGACCATGTCGGTCAACCTGGTTAGAACTGGTGGACCAAGTTGGTGATGAGCTTGCTAACCATATTCTAAAACACTTTCGAATGGTTGCCCAGTTTAACTAGCTCAAGCCTGGTTCTACCAGCAGCATAAAGCTTTAGTAACAATGATAAAAGCCTAACAATTAGAAGAACCTTAGACACTGTGAGACTGATCATCAGCTGGTCCAAGCTGGTTTAGGAGGTTGACTAGATGATGGGGTCAAATTCACCATGTCAGTCAAACTGGTTAGAGTTGGTGGACCATCTTGACTAAGCTGATGAGGAGCTAGATATCCACATTTCAGAACACTTCAGAATGTATAACTAGTTTAACTACCTTAAACTAGCCTGGTTTTTCCAACTTAGTTATAAACAATGCTTTAGACCAGTGGTTCCCAAACATCCTACTGTATGTGTATGGTTCATAAATCGATATTAAACAAGTTTGCTGAGATATCTGGCCACCTGGCATTCAGTGATCAATGACTGTCTGGAAATCTGAAACCAGCTTTAATCACCCTTCACACCGACACAACAAACTAACTCACCAAGCATTAGACATCATCTGAAATAAACCAATAATATGACAGGACGGCTGAATAAGACGCATAATTGTTGCAAACATAATGATTTTTGAAACAGATGTTGTTAACAGTGTGATCTATGAAAGCCTGTTTCCAACTCAGAGTAAAAAAATACGCAGGAAATTAAAATGAAGTTTAAAATAGGAAATAAAGTTGCAAATATGAGGTCAAAAGTCACAATTTTGGGAAATAAGGTTTTAGTTGGGTGGTTGAATAGTTGTATGACCTGTTGATGGGGCTAGTTCAACCAATTTAGAGCTGGTAGGCCATCTTGGCTGACTAATGATTAAAGCCTAAGAAATCTAATAAATAGAACTTTAGAAATGGTTAGACTGGCCATTAGCTGGTTCACACTGGTTTAGGATGTTGACTAGTTGTATGACTAGATATTAGGGCCAATCTGACCATGTCGGTCAACCTGGTTAGAACTGGTGGACCAAGTTGGTGATGAGCTTGCTAACCATATTCTAAAACACTTTCGAATGGTTGCCCAGTTTAACTAGCTCAAGCCTGGTTCTACCAGCAGCATAAAGCTTTAGCAACAATGATAAAAGCCTAACAATTAGGAGAACCTTAGACACTGTGAGACTGATCATCAGCTGGTCCAAGCTGGTTTAGGAGGTTGACTAGATGATGGGGTCAAATTCACCATGTCAGTCAAACTGGTTAGAGCTGGTGGACCATCTTGACTAAGCTGATGAGGAGCTAGATATCCACATTTCAGAACACTTCAGAATGTATAACTAGTTTAACTACCTTAAACTAGCCTGGTTTTTCCAACTTAGTTATAAACAATGCTTTAGACCAGTGGTTCCCAAACCTGTCCTGGAGGACCCCCTGCCCTGCACATTTTGTATGTCTCCCTAATCAGACACACCCAATTTAGTTATTGCAGTCTCTACTAACGAGCTGATGAGTGGAATCAGGTGTGTTAGATAAGGGAGACATACAAAAGGTGCAGGGCAGGTGGGCCTGCAGGACAGGTTTGGGAAGCACTGCTTTAGACGGTTCCAAGCTGGTTTGGGTGGTTTATGAGTTGGACGACCAGCTTATTTAGAAACTCAATGGTAATTTAGGTTGTTTATTAATTGATTAATCAGCTTCTGGGGCCAAGTTTGACCTGATAGATAATGTTGGGTCAGCCTGGATAGAACGACATTCCAAAATGGCTTGGACTGGCAGACCAACTTAACCATCTAATGCGAGTACGGCCTTTTGAAATAACTTTATTGACAATAATGAAACCCCAATGTTGAGAAGTTGTAGAAATTATTTAGAAAAGACACTTAAGAGTTCACACTCACTCTGAAGTCATCTGGGTGACCAGCTGTAGGGATGTGAAGCCAGAGTTGAGGAAGTTGTCTCTGTACTGAGACATCTTGACGGCGGCCAGCCAGTCTTCTACAGAACTAAAGGTGGTGAAGTCTGGGATGGACCTGTCCAACAATGGCTGGGACGGACTGGAGGAAGAGAGAGAAACAGAGAGTGAAATGCACTAAACCTTGGGTGTCAAGGTTACTGTCTTTGTAGGGACCACCAAACTCGTTTTTCCCAGAAAGAAAACGGCTTCATAAGTGGACTAAAAATGTCTAGTTTAATACGAAAACACGCTAAATGTTTAGGGTTTGTGACTTTTTTCATATATTGTAAAATATCATTTATCTCTGTGATGGCAAAGCTGAATTTTCAGCATCATTACTGAAGTCTTCAGTGTCACATGATCCTTCAGAAATCATTCTAATAAGCTGATTTGCTGCTCAAGAAACATTTTGTATTGTTGTCAATGTTGAAAACAGTTATGCTGCTTAAAGTATTTTTACTCGTTTATAAATCACTCAATGGCCTAGGACCTAAATACATTGCAGATAGGCTCACTGAATATAAACCTAACAGACCACTCAGATCATTAGGGTCAAGTCAGTTAGAAATACCAAGGGTTCACACAAAACAAGGGGAATCGCTTTTAGCTATTTTGCCGCGCGCAGTTGGAATCAGCTTCCAGAAGAGATCAGATGTGCTAAAACATTAGTCACATTTAAATCTAGACTCAAAACTCATCTGTTTAGCTGTGCATTTATTGAATGAGCACTGTGCGATGTCCGAACTGATTGCACTGTATTTTATGCAACCCGAAATGATTGCACTGTATTTTATGTATAATCATTTTCTATTTTTAACTGTCTTAAATTCATTTTAAATCAATTTTTAAATCATTTTCAAAGTTTTTTAATTCCTTGTTTTATTTTTGTGATTATTTTACTTTTTTACTCACAGCTTGCCTTGCTTAATATTGTTGTGTTAACCAAGATAATTTTTTTTTCAGGATTCTTTGATGAACAGAAAGTTCAAAAGAACAACAGTACAAAGAAATATTTTGTAACAATGTAAAAGTCCTTGATATAAAAATATGAATCTCTTTAAAAAAGCTTTATTAGCATAAATAAAGGTTTCCACCATAGTAAAAAACAAAATGTGTGTATAATGAGCTGGTTTGACTCACATAGTGGGTATACTGGCGACTGCTTTAAGGCTGGTGGGGTTGCGGATGAGTTTGTCGAGCGTATTGACGATATCCGTGAAGCGCGGCCGAGCGTTCCGATCTTTCTGCCAGCAGTCAAGCATCAGCTGGTGGAGAGCAGTGGGACAGTCCATGGGGGGCGGCAGCCTGTAATCCTGCTCTATAGCATTGATCACCTACACACACAGACAGATATTATTGTTATTAATTGCTTTGTTGTCATTTCTGGAGGAAGTATCGGACTCTTAAACATATTCTTGAGTCTTTTAGTGGAAAAAAGGTACAAAACTGTCAATGGGACGTCCCCTTAGATATCAAATATATCATCTTTGTACCTTATTTACCACTAAATGGTACATATTAGTACTTTAAAAGTACATATTATAACCTAAAGTGTACAACTTAGCACCCTTTGAAAGGGTACCACCTCGACATGCAAATGTTATGGATAAAACACAAAATAAATCAATCATAAGTAATAAATGATTACTAACTAAAAGATTCACTCAGAAAGGGTCACTGGACAAATCAGTGAACAAATTATTTGCATGAACAAATCTGAATAAATAAGTGGTCAAAACTAAATGAATCTTTTATAGAATTCAAATGCGTTGTGAGAAACTGGCTTTGAGTGCTTCAGTAACAAGAAATAAATAAAACCATTAAAAAAAAGATCTAAAAGCACACAATATTGTTTTATCACACATAAATTGCCACATATATCAGTTTTGTTGCATAGACATTGCAACATAAACAAACAACCCACAGCATTAATCTTTAAACGTGATCTGTTGTTCTACCCTCCTCAAACACTGGACTCTTCCCATATTCCTCTCTCTCTGATTCTCTCGGACACAAGTAAACATCAAATGAACAAACAAATACACTGTCTAGCCTCTGCATACCAATCTAGAGATCTTTGCTTCGCACAAACATGAGTTTAAATATTTGAGGATCAATACTCTCTGCTCCCTCCATGCCGGCCGTTTTTCTCCTAAACTGATTCCACAGGACCGTGGTGAGATGTGGGCACTCAGTGCTGCAGATGTCCTGCTGTTTCATTATGCGGATATGATCTTTTATTTTTGGTAATTTGGGACTGGATGATCATTAAAAACTCTAGGCCGAATAAACATTATTCAACTTATCCACTACTTTACCTTTAGCACTTCTTCTATGTCAGAGTGAATAACATGGGAGCTCTGTTGTTTTGTTTTTGGTGCATGTCACAAGATGTTAAACATTTTGCAAACCAGAATCAGACAGCTTTACAGTATGAGTCCTTCATAAGATGGTTTTCATGAATATTTAACAACAGAATTTTCAAATGCAACATAAGAAATTAAGTCGGTCAAGCAAGACAAACAACACCTCTTTTGAGAAACGGAGACAATCTTTGAAAAAAAGAAAGTACGCACAGAGAATGTACAAAGTAGAAAGTAATTAATTTCTTTAATTTATTTGCTTTGATTTGAATGTACTGAATCACTGAATGCTCAAATCGTTTTTTACAGTTGTGAGTTCGGCAGTCATTACAGTCACAAGTTCCTCAGGGTTCGTTCTGCATCTCTGATGTGTTAACTGGATGCTAAAAGGATTGGGGAATTTATGTTTTCATTGGCAGGATTTTCCAAAAATCCCCAGAGAGCCTAGAATCAATGAGTCTGCTATATTCACAAAAAATTGTCTGCTCTGAAAGACAGATGCTGGGAGATTTGAATGCAGAAAGACTCTGAGGCAGGTACTGTAGATTCAGACAGAGAGACGGCAAGACTCAAAGTAGTGAGCCTTAGAGCCAAAGAGATTGACAGGAAATGAGACTCACGGCAATGAAATTCAGAGGTAAAGCCAAAGGGTTTTTGGTGCTTTATAGTTAATCATACACTTTACATACATCATGAATGCACTGCAAAGCTTTACATTCTCAGAAAAAAAAGATACAAAAGCTGTCAGTGGGGTGGAACCCTTTCAAAAGTTACTAAAATGTACCATTTAGGTACTAATATGTATCTTTATGGTAACAACGCACCCATTAAGGGTATATATGGTTAAAAATTTGTACCTTTTGAAAAGTTACATGCTCATGGAAAGCTTTTGCTCTTGTATAGGTTCACTTTTCATATATGCATAATTCCAAAGATAATGATTGCGCACAACGGCATGGGTTCATTTTAGTTGTAAGTGGGTTTTATCCCACTTTATTATATTATATTACATATTATTTTATATTAATGTTTTAGTAATACTAACAACAATAATGATAAAAAATTATATAGTATATAATAGTATAGCATATTATAGAATAGTATATATTGTCGTTTTATATTTTATTTTATTCAGTTTACTCAGGGCTAGTGTGACTCAAAGCCAGTAATAGACAGTCATACTCTGTTTTGTATAAAAAATGACTTACATCTTGGTTGCTCATGTCCCAGTAGGGCCTCTCGCCAAAAGACATCACCTCCCACATGACGATACCGTAACTCCAGACGTCACTAGCAGAAGTGAACTTCCTGTACGCGATGGCTTCCGGCGAGGTCCATCTCACAGGGATCTTTCCACCCTGAGGAAACAAACAAAAAAATGACAGTTCAGACTGGTGTGTTAGAAGTAATAGGATGCTTGCATATGGATTGATTTTGCACATGAGAATCCATGTGACTCATGTACACATAACCATTCAATAGCGAAATATATCGCTTTCACATGGACGGCTGGGAAGTATGCTGTTTGAACAAAACAAATAAGCAACGGGAACATATCGACTCACTGAGCTCTACATCCATCGCAACTATAAATATTTGCAAACAATGGGCTGCATTTGCATTTTTTTAAATTCAGCACAACTGAATTCAATTATTTTTGCTTTGCAAAACACCATAAAAACCTCTTTCCTATTCTTTCAACAGCGTATATGTGTGTGTGTGTTTGTGAGGAGGGCCTTGCCTCGTCCGTGGAGCGTGTCTGTCTGTAATTCGTCTACCTGAGGCTGGATTTGTGTCTCTCACTGATTAAAATTGACAGCAGTTTGTTTTAAGATTCAACTCACACACACACACACACACACACATACGCACACACACGCACACACACACAATGACAAAACACACACAGAACTGGTTTGAGATCCACATGCTTTATGTTTCAGTCTAATGATGTCAATTAGTTCAGTCCTGCCTCTGACGTCAACCAGATGAAAACTAAATGACAGGAAAAGCTGAGCAGCATATAGTCATTCTAGAAGTGTGCTTTAGGCTAAAAAGTGACAGTAATGAAACTAAAACTTTTACATTTTCTAAAGAAAATGTACTGTAAGTGCTGTTTACCCATACAAAATTTCCAATGCTATGATGTTAGGCATAGCCGTTCCTCCCTATACGCAAAATACGCAAGCTGCGTAGGGCCCCCGAAACACCAGGGGGCCCCCTTGCTCTCAAAGATGATTTAATTTTAGTTTCGTTTTTTGAATTTGTCCAGCGGTTATGAAAACATGAATCATTATTTATTTTAATGAGGTGCGCTGTTGCCCTTTCTACGTAAAAATCTGTCAAATCATGTAATGTGAATGTCGTACAGTCTTGTTGAAAGCGTACCGTGCCACGGAAGAGACACTGTTCCGCGAGCGCGATTCGAGACGGAGTGAAACCCCCCCCCCAGTAGGGCCCCCAGAAGTCTAAAATCGCCACTGATGTTAGGGTCTGTTTCCATGCAGTCAATGTGTCCTAAACTGTTTTTGGCAAATTGCTATGTGGTTGCTACATGGTTGCTTACTCTACGCATTCCGGATTTTAGAAACGACTTTGCTCCCTTCTTTAATGTACATTTAGGGACTATTCCAGTACCCACCAGATTAACACTTTCTAAATGACAGTTTAATGAAGCTTCTGAATAAAAAATAAACAGGAAATATTTCAGCGAGTTGCAGAAGAGGCAAATAAAGAATAAAATACTGAATCGAGAGCTAAACTGTGCAATATTTCATAGAAAACTGTTTCAACCTGATTCAAATGACTGTGAATGATGCCACTGCTTGTGGGCGGGGCTTTCTCGTTTTAAAAGCAAAACTACAGTCGCTCAATGTCCTTATAGATAGAAAACGAAAACATTTTAGTAAATGTAAGGAGAACAACCTAAAACAGGATTACAGAATCTCAGACCTCTTTCTCTGTCCATTTTTTATTAAGTTTGGTGACAAAACAGTGGTCAGGGAAGGACAGATGCCTGCTGGGAGTTTGCGTCACTCTTACAATCACTCCATTCCACCTCTTTAACCCACAGTTCTCTCTTTAGTCCCCTACATCCTTCCTGCTTTTTTCTTTATCTATCCATCTATCACTATATTTTTGCAACCCATTTCATCTTCTGTGGGTCAATATGAAGCAGAAAAACATGAAAGAGAAGAAAGAGAGAGAAGGATCTTTCTTGTTGGAGTTTTCTCATTTGGTTTAAACAGAATTTAGAGATGAAAGGGTTTCAAAACAAGCACACCATCCTTGTATATGAACTCAATAATCACTTTAAATATTCCTGTAATAATTCTGCATCACCTCAGTCAGGATTATCAGTCAAAGATTTATAAAGACCAATAATCTTAAAAGGGTCACACCACCACATCAAAATCAGATTTTCTCTGCTCTTTTGATATAAAAGATATAAAATAAATCATCACGGTTTTGACACGCAATACACGCTAGATGCCCGCTTTGTGTTTAGGACCTCAGAAATCTGACAGGCACAAAACCGGGCATTTTTCAACAGTGAGAGCTATGACATCCAAAAGCACAATAACAAATGGCCTCTCATGTGTAGATATCATAGGTGTCATTTGCAATGTCTTAAAGACACAGTAGCAAAAAATACCAACAAAAGCAAGTGTAACTGTTAAAGTATACTTTGGTGCCTTGACAAACTTTATCCAGGAAATGGACTTCGGGGAAAATAAAATGCTTCTGAATATAAACAAAGATATTATATTTATCAAATGAAAAATATATAACAAATGAAGGATTTGATGATCCTTTCTGCTTGGATTTTCTCCTGACTTTTGTGTTCAGTGACCTGAAAGACTCAATTTCATCTTCATCGATTCTAATATAAGATGGAATGAACCTACATACGACAGAGACCAGTGTCATACAGGTCACCTTCACTGACTGCTATCTGTGACGAGAGGCCTGTCACCACAGAGACAGGGCACATAAACACTGACTTCAGGTTAGTGACAATTACTTTTACATTGAACCCATGCAGTGTGAACATAACAGAACTGAACTAGTAATGGTTAATGCTAAAGTGGCAATGTCTTACACCTATAATAGCTTGTTTGAAGGTAGGTTAAAATATGGGGGGAAAATAAATAATATAAATAAATGTAAAATTTAAAATAAAACAGCTGAATCACTGAAACGTCTGGTCAAACACAATGTGGTTTATCATTTATTCAGCATTTATAGAAATAGACCCATATGTTTCTCTGATGCTCCACTGTCTGTCACTATTTCCGAGCTGCAGTCTGAAAGAACACTGAAGATCTGTCTCTCCGAGCGGCGCATGCTCACAGCAAACAATACTTGAACAACTGCAGAAGAAAGACACACCAGTAGTGTTTAATGTCCCAAACACAGACAATCTGCATCGGAAATGTGCCAGCATGAGGCAAGACAACAGCGGCATATATTTAGATCTGAAAAACTGTGCATATTATGGTGCGTTTCCACTGCGTGGTACGACTCGGCTCGGCACGGCTCAGTACGGTACGACACGGCACGGTACGGCTCGGTTCGGTTTGCGTTTCCACTGCAGTTCAGTACCACTTTAGAGTGGGCGGGATTATTCACATGTCGTTATAGTTGCGCCGCCTCTATTGCCGCGACTCCTGAAAAAGTTTTTCATTCCGCATCGCCCCATCAAGCTCGCTGGATCCGCTCCTTTGCTATCAACGAGAGGAACGTCTGTACTTCCTCAACAGACAATGAAACAGCCACTTTTTGGTTGTTAAAAAAGGTGCGCTTGTTCAAAACAGTTGCGTTCGATCCTTCGCTGGCTGTGCTGATTTAAATCTAGCGGTTCTGTTGTGTTTGTGTCGCAAGTTCAGTGATGCAGGTAGTGATGATTCTCTCCGGCCAATCCGTGATCAGCAGAGTTTGCACATCACATTTTGGTAATGGTACGGTTCACTTGGAACCTCAACTGAGGTGGTACTAAAAAAAGTACCTGGTACCAGGTACTGTACCCAGTGGAAAACCCCCCAAAAGTGAACCGTACATAGCCGTACCATGCAGTGGAAAAGCGCCATTAGAAAGACAGAAAGAGACAAGAGACTCTGTCTGTCAGTCGATAGTTTACATTACTTAAACATAAAGAAACTTACAGACTGATTAAAAAAAACATGTAATTTAATGTAATGTGAAAATATAGACGAGTAACATGATATAAGATTTCTCATAGTTTGATACCCATGCCACACTGATGTCAACAAACCAATAATGCTACAAAGTGAATACTAGATCACCTTGTCTAACTGCTTTTAAATTATAACCCATGGCCATTCGGTTTCTCTGTGGGCCTCACAGATCTAATTTGCATATATCTCCTTCACTTACATTAATTTCAAATTCCAGTCCAATTTGTGCTGCATTGACATCAGCAGGCAAATCAGACGTCAGGGGAGGTGGTTCAGATATCAGCAGGCTAACCGTGCGTCGCTAACCTTTCGCCCCCTCTTCCTGGTCCCGTACCGCCCTGCCACCGCCCAGACGCCCGACGGGGACAGCGCAAATTAAACCACGCTCACCTAATCCTTTATCATCCTTTCCTTCCAATTTCCCATCCAAGATTTTTAATATTAGATTATGACCTTGTCTTTCATAACCAGGTTAAGTATTCTTTTTTTTTCCTTGACTCAAATGCTCTTTCTTTTCCTTTGAGAGTTCTTTGTGCTTAAATGAAAGAGCGCTTGTTCGCCACTGTGTGAGGTTTTCAAGTCTGTCACATGGTGCTGCAGGTCAAAGGTCAGATAGCATGTTTAAATAATGACAGCTGAGGACGGCGGTGTGGTAAAATGTTGCTCACACCGCTTCTCTGTTTGATACCCGCAGTAACTTGCTAACCAATCTGCTCACATTTTACAAGAGAGGCAAGAGTCAAGGTTGCATAAACCTATGAAATTGAGACTGAATTGACCGTTTAAATTCACTAAAATAAACCATGATAAATGTTGCAGTCCAAATTACATACTAAAAAAAGGCAGACAACACTATTACTATTCATACTTATTAAAAATCATATAAACATACTTTTAAGGTTAACATATATAACCTGACCTCACCTCTTGTACTATAGATATAAAGATTACCAAAGGGGGAAAAAAGGAAGAGAGGTGTGCAATTACTGTTCCACGTGATAAAGTGGACGGAATTTAAAATTTTTTTTAAAAACGATTCATTTTCTTCAGAAAAACATACAATTTGGGCAAAAAATTTGCATTTTCTTCAGAAAAATATAAGATCTAGTTTTACCCCACAATTCTAACAAAAACCTTCTTGCTTGGCATAAATTAAAGCATGCATCACCCTTCGTTCAGAATTAATCTGGCTCTGTGATACTGACCTTGAGAATTTTCAGCTAAATGCTGTTGTAGACTATTAGGATTGCTCAAAGCGAACTGTTGTGAGATCAGGAAAGATTAAGCATAAAAAGAGCACACATGTTCATCTCAGCTGAACTGCACAGGGGACTGACACACACACACACACAGATGGGGAATGTAATAACTGATGGGCTTATACTGGCTTAGCTACCTGTGACACTTGACATTTATCATACTACATCAAACACACACACAGATGCATTTCTCCTCATTCGTCCTTCCTAAGATGTAATTTGGCAGGTGAACAGACTGTACATGTACTAAATCTGATAGTGGTGAGGTCATGCATTCTCTTCCACTGGCTTTAGCCTCATAATGTTTGCCAATGGAGGTTCGTGTCAACAAAAATATTTGAAAAGCATATTCAAAGTTTTATTTGAGACATTTAGTAACAAATATACAGGATATCACTGAGTGAGCCTGAATATTTCACATTGTTCTCAGGGTTATGTTCTGTAAACACTCATACCCACCTGCTTGATGCTGTGAGAAATTGGAAGCTTATTTCTTAAATCCATTTTGTTTAACAGTATCCGTATGTTGATGCATGTTAAATTTTACCCAAAAATGTTGTTCACCCTCATATCTTTCCCAACCCATAAGACCTTCGTTCATCTTTGTAACAAAAATTACTATATTTAGGATGAAATCCGAGAGCTTTTTGACCCTCCATAGACAGCAAAGGAACTACCACGGTTAAGGTATAGAAATGTAGTAAGGACATTATTAAAATAGTCCACGTGACATCAGTAGTTCAACCGTAATTTTATGAAGCTACGAGAATACTTTTTGTGCGCAAAGAAAGCTTTTTGAAACTTCTTTTCTGGGTCAGTCAGCCACCATTCACAAGAGTACCACGATGCATGCCTGTGCATTCCTCTGCTTGTCCTTACAATTCCTTACTATGTTTCTGTGCCTTGATCGTGGTAGTTGCGTTGTTGTCTCTGCAGGGTCAGAAAGCTCTCAGATTTGTATTCCAAAAATGAACGAAAGTCTTACGGGTTTGTAACGACATTAGGGTGAATAATTAATGACAGTGTTTTTTATTTTTCGTGTATTTTTAACTATCCCTTTAAGAATTTCTTATTTTCATGTATTCCTTGGGAATTTGAGCTTGACTCTGCTTGAGCTACATGAATGACAGTATTGCCAACACTGATCCAACAAAACCAGACAACTGCATGATGGTCAGATGGGCTCTTCATATCTCAGGCTAGTTCGCACTGCTCAAACAAACCAAGCTGGGCAATGTGAACTAGTTTAAATGACAGTTCTTGGCCAGAATAAGCCATAATGTGAGCCAGTCTTGATGCCGACAGGCAAAAGTCTGGCTGAACTAGACTACACAATTGCAGAAGATGCAATGTGTACACCTGGATACTGAGAAGACAAATAAGGGAAAACTGAAGGAATTGAAATGGTGAGTAAACAGAGGAAAGAGAAAATGAGCATGTCACATTCCACACTCCGGCACGCCAAATCGCATCCCTCGGATGGGAGAGGAAGAGGAAGAGGAAGAGGGAAACAGAAAGTGACAGAGAGGAGGGTGGCAGGGCGAGGGGGTGTCACACATTCAGATCCCACCTCAGTGTAAATAGTTTTATTTTCCATTTGCAGCACACAGCCACTGCACTTGTCATGCTGACAGCGAGAGGGAAATCTGTGTTCATGCTGGGAAAGTGAGGGACATTTCTTTATTTCTTCCCTTTCAATTTCACTCCCTTCTCAGTATCATCTCCTCCAAGCCCAAGAACCCTCCAGTTTCGGGTGAGAAACTCTCTGGGTAGAGTTTGAGTGTGTTTTAGTACAAGATTGTTATCGTCAAGTTAGACACAGAACATAAATCAGCTGAAAACAAATTTAAAAAGGCAAAATGTCGGAGTGACAGACAGACGGATGGGCAGACGTACTTACAAATGTCCCGTCCTCAGAGTCCAGATCGTAATCTGGCTGTACTGCATGTCCAGACTGAACAACTGAATGTGACTGAGCTGTTTGGGTTTTTAATTATTCTATCCATGGACCGACAGACAGACAGACGGACAGACAGATAGACAGATAGACGGATAGATGGATGGATGGATGGATGGATGGATGGACGGACGGACGGACGGACGGACGGACGGACAGACAGACAGACAGACAGACAGACAGACAGACAGATAGACGGATAGATGGATAGACGGATAGACGGATAGATGGATGGATGGATGGACGGATAGATAGATAGATAGATAGATAGATAGATAGATAGATAGATAGATAGACAGACAGACAGACAGACAGACAGACAGACAGGTAAGACTAGTAAACAGAGGCCATCAAAAGCTGACAAGTGAAAAAAACCCCGGCAAAAACCCGGGGTGTAATTAAATCCTCTCTCTATCAGCAAGGAAGACAGCAAAGTCACATCAGTATCACTAGTAAACAGAGGCCATCAAAAGCTGACAAGTGAAAAAACCCCCGGCAAAAACCCGGGGTGTAATTAAATCCTCTCTCTATCAGCAAGGAAGACAGCAAAGTCACATCAGTATCACACCCCCGTTCACACCTTTGCCACATATTCCTGTCAATCAACAGTCACCGCAGGACATCCTGTTTGTGAATGGCGGCTGTCTTTGGGGCTTAATGAGCTTTCACACATTTTAAGAGAGACAAAACGTTAGCTAAATATTCCCTGTCTGTCGTCTCGTCTTCTTATCATCTGCCTCACATCAATGCTCACCAGCGCCGAGGAACCACCCGAGTGTAAAAGATGAAATTGTTTGCTTACAATGCATGGGACATTTCTATGAGAAGTCTGAAGTGAATTTAAAATGCGTTCAATAAAGGATGTGACCCAGGGCTGTTTCTCTCCAATGCGGAGGAAACGGTTGACCCTGTTAAAAGTGCGACTGTCAATGCGACCAGCGCTTTGGAAGCCAGCCTGAATACAGAAATCATAACAGGGTCAGATAAGGTGGAACAAGACAATGAATTATCAGTAAACCCAGATAATTACGAACGTGGCGAATCAGTGGCACCAAAAATATCACAGCGCTCTGAATAGAAAGTCTTTAAGGAGGCAGGAGAAAATAGTATTTCATATTAATATTAAAGATCCGCAGCACAGGAGGGCTAATGATGCCCTGGATGCCTATTAATGATACATAATAGAGAATTCTGGAAGTCTGAGCGCTCCATTTTGGAGGCAGGCTATTGGAAGTCTAGTCACTTGGCTGTGTTCAATCACATACAGAATTTAAATGCAGTTTTTCCAGGAATCGCTCATGTCCTGTCAGGGAGACAATGCACTGTTTCTTTCCTGAGACATTTTGGGGAATAAAAGACAAAGCAGACAAGAATGAGAAAATAAAACCAAAGCTTGAGGAAATGAGGAGCAATTACAAACGCTCAATACCTGCCTTTTCAATTACCTCAAGCAACAGCGCAAAACATGGCACCTATTGGCTTCTGTTGAAATGAGGTGGTGAGTTTGACGTGCCTGGGAAAAGTCTTACCAGTGAGCTGGTGTAGGTGGGGTCAGAGGTGTCTTCCTGCAGATAACGGGACAGGCCGAAGTCCGACACCTTGCACACGAGGTTGCTGTTGACCAGGATGTTGCGGGCGGCCAGGTCTCGGTGGACGTAATTCATCTCCGACAGGTACTTCATGCCAGCAGCAATTCCCCTCAGCATCCCCACCAACTGGATCCCTGTGAACTGCCCATCATTTTGCTGCCAAAAAAACCCACAAATATCATATGACGTTCATCAGTATGTCAAACCTCAACTAAAGGAGCTTCTGGTGTTTAACTGTAAACACATGTTTTGGTTATGCAGTATCTGGTTAATTAAGAATATAATAATCTATTTCCACTTAACTCTGTTTCAAAAGCATTAACATGATTTGTCAAAGCAGGACATGCTCCACCTCCAGGATACATGACTGACAGAATTGAATTGTGAGTGCCTTTACAATTTAGATTGAAAAATGTAAAACATAATTACAGATCAAGACATAATTACAGATATGATAGATAGAATAATAAAATGATCGATAGATAGATAGATAGATAGATAGATAGATAGATAGATAGATAGATAGATAGATAGATAGATAGATAGATAGAAGGACAGATTAAATCATAGACAGAAATGACCAGGACATTACAACATCAGGACAATAATTAGATTGAACACTTGAACGATAGAATGATAAAAACGATTAGACTTCTTAAAAGATTCTAAAGACAGCATGGCATGGAATGATAGAACAATAGAATGACTGAACGAATGAACGAACGAACGAACGAACGAACGATAGATAGATAGATAGATAGATAGATAGATAGTGTTTGAACGACAGAACGATAGATAGATAGATAGATAGATAGATAGATAGATAGATAGATAGATAGATAGATAGATA